ATATATACTCCCCTATTTTATGATGTGGGAAACGGAGGCTTAGACAGAAGTTGCTTTGTTTGAAATCAGTAAAGTGTCAGACTCCCATCTAGCATTCCCCATGCCCATCTTTTTTTGGTTTTTCGAGACAGGGTTTCCCTGTGCAGCTCTGGCTGTCCTGGAACTCACTCTGTAGACCCGGCTGGCCTCAGACTCACAGAGATCCACCTGTCTCTGCCTCCTGAGTGCTGGGATTAAAGGTGTGTGCCATCATTGTCCGGCTATGAATGCCTGTTTCTGTGAGCAGTCAGCATTTTCAGAAGCAGCAGATCAAACTCTCCGTGCCAAGCTCACAGTACAGTGTGCTCCGTGGATGAGACACACACCAGATACTATTATGATGGTCAGAGGTGATGGGGCTGGTCCAGAGCCTAGGTAGTCCTGGCTAATCTGTGAGGAGGGGACCCCAAAGGGTGAGAGGTCGGCTAGAGAGGGCCCCCAGGAGGTACCCTTGGAGGGAGGCCAAACGGCTCAGTTCTACCAGATGCCTCACAACTGGACAGCAGCTGGAATTCAAACCCATTCCCCTGGGCTGCACTGCTTCTTGGGCCAGTGCCTGCTCCTGCCCCATACCACCCAGAGCCACAGATGCGGAGGGAGCCCCATTCTACCCGCAGGAACTCCAGCCACCCTGTCCTGGAACCATTCTTCCAATCGCAGCCTTTCCCCTACAGGAGCCACTTAGCTTGTTGCCAGGCAGGTGTCCCCGCAATCAGCCTAAGCCTCTTAAAGCAGCCTCTTAAGCTCAGTCTGTCCCCCTGGCCTCACATCATCTTGCAGCGAGCAGTCCACAAATGAGCCCGCCATCAGGACGCGATGTTCATTAATAGAAAAGCCGGCGGTTAATTGATGTTTATTTCCCCTGGTCCGCACCTCGAAATTGACAGATGATGCTGTCTCTGCCAGCCCAAAGCAGGAGGAGGGGCTGGAGGAGGGAGCTTTCACTCCGCCAGGGTCAGGCAGCCCTGTCACCGGAGTGGCACAGAGAGGCCCTCTCCTGTGTGCATTCTAGTTCATCCTACCCCCAATCGGCTCTGTCTTACCACTTCACTCCATGAAACCAAATCAGACAAACCTGAGCTCTGTGGTCTGGGCAAGTACTCAACCTTTCTGGTCTCACCCTCTTCATGTCCCAACTAAAGCAGATGAGACATAAGCTCCGGAGCCAAGCACAAGAACTAAATACAACGTGGCTGGTGCTCCACCTCCTGAGAACCCTGCAGCCCCCAGCACCTAGGTCCCTCCGTTTAATATGTCATCACCTCCCCTGAATCTGTCCCCTTAGTGTCCCCACTGCCACACCAGGGCTCCAGCTCAAAGCCTGGGTGTCTTCTGAGGTACCCCTTTCTTCTTTCTCAACCGTCACCAAGTCTGATAGTTGTTCTTCCCACGTGGTCGACAGCGAGTCCCCCACTGTCTCTGTCCTGAATGTCTTCATCTCTCTGGATTTTCACCAGCCTGACCGGTGTCCTTGCTCCTGTCTCTCTTTGGTCTTCCACCACACAAAAACCAGTGTTGGCGGCAACAGAAAGCTCCTGAAACCTCATCAAATCAATCTGGTTTCAGAACCAGAGCAGAAGCTCCTCATTGCCCTCAGGAGGATCCAGTCCTCAGTTCAGATGAAACCTAGAGCCTTCTTCACAAGGTCCCCACCGCCCTTGCCTCCCTTCCTGAGGGCACCCCGTGCCATTAGAGGCCCCTGCCATCAGGAGCCCCCTTTTTGAGCCATAGTGAACCCGCATTTAATGACTGACCTTGGGCACAGCGTCTCCAGGAAGCCTTTTCTGCGAGTCCACACTCTGATGGGCCTTTTTCTGGGCTCCCCAGCTCTCGTTCCTGCTGCATCTGGCAGGTGCTCAAGTGTGAGTACACACTGTGGCTCCTTATGCGTGCTTGGTACCATCTGACCATGGTGGTACATGCCTCTCATCCCAGCACTCAGGAGACAGAAGCAAGTGGGTCTCTGTGAGTTCAAGGCCAGCCTGGTCTACCAAAAAAAAAAAAAAAAAAAAAAAGGAAAATCAAAAATAATCAAAAAGACTTCAGCAACCAGAAGGCAAGGCCTGCAGAATCTAAACCTTGCTCCAGTTGGGAAGGCCTTCCCCCTGAGGCTACCCCAGCCTTGGCCTGAGTGTTGCTGTGGCCTTGGGTCAGGTGACCTCTCCTGGGCTCAGCTCCACTCCAGCCCCTACTTCCTGCCTTGGGCTCCAGAGGACACACGTTTCTCTCCTAACCAAATTACCACAACCACCTGCTCTCCCGAGTACTTCATTAGACCCTGAAATAGACCCCCCCAGTCCTGGAAGCCAAGACTAAACCTAGCAGCAGGCCATCCATCTTCCTGTTATGTCTGTGCAAAAACCATTTTCCAGCTTTGGTCTAGGTCTTGAGGGCTTTCCTCACGGGGCTCCCAGCCTGCGCATGCAACCCTGGCGCTTTCTGGGTACCGCCTCAGAGGGAGCCTTCCTTCTCCACATCTCCTTTCCTGGAAACCGTTATTTGCCCAACCTGGTCTGTCTGAGAGATGCAGATCCTGCTGTCTCCACAGAGCTTACCCTCCCCTCCCTCACAAGCTGTGCAAGCTTGCTTTCGGCTCCTCATCCCTACCTCTTGTGGGTCGCCTTCCTCCGAGAAAAAAGCACACCTTTACAAGTCACCTCAGGAGCCAGGCATGGTGATTCGGGTTTGCAAGCCTTGAGGGCCTGAGTTGAATCTCCAGCTACTACGTAAAAAAGCCACAGCTGGCCCACACATGCCTTTAATCCCAGCATTCGGGAGGCAGAGGCAGGCCAGATCTCGGTGAATTCCAGGCTGATGAGGGCTACATAGTGAGGCCCTACCTTAACAAAACAAAAGCCATGTCTGCAGTCCTAGAGCCGAGGAAGCTGGGACAGGAGAATGCCAGGGATTTTCCTGGCCCAGTTGGGGAATCTCAGATTCAGTGAGAGAAAACAAGGTAGAGATCACTTTTGAAAGATACCCGATTTGGACCTCTGGCTTACACACCATGCACACACAATGGGCATGTGCAAACGGTTCCCAGAAGTTCTCTCTGGAATTCTTGTTTGCATTGCCCAGGTGGT